CTATGTCGAGTTTAGAGATGAGCTTCTTCGTGTTTGGCGTTGAGTCGTGATGGTTGTTTGCTCATTCCAGATGAGAGATTTTTTTAGTTATACTAATCAGACATCTATTCGGGTCTGAATTCTCTGGTGATAACTCAAACTAGATTAAATGTAAAAAAACAAATATCAAGAAATAATTGTCTTAAATTCATGCACATAAGGAGTAATTATCATTTTTTTTAAATATTGAGCATAAAAAAGTTTTCAGTTGTAATCTCATTAGTTTTGTCGGGTTATCAGAAAGAATTTTTAGCTTCAATAACTAGCCGAAATAATCATACCTCATTGAAGAAGCAAATTATTTTGTTGATATGATTTGATAGATTTTGAGAGGTAGGCGGGTTATATATATATATACACACACATATATATCTTTCTTTTAGGAATGGTCGGAGGTTATGATACGAGTCTAGGCTATCCTTCATACACCTATAATTCAAGTACCACACCCTACGCTCGGGGGAATCGAATCCCAAACCAAAGGGAACTTACAACTGACAAGCAGATGCTTGAACAATTGATCTAAGTATGGGTTATATATATATATCAAGAAGTTCACAGTTCACATGTCTATCATTTACAGAGAAGAAAACCAACCTGCAAATTGGCTTGCCTGACAAAGAATTTATGCTAACTCCATTTCAGTTGATACAAGGCCTCCCACCCCTCTTGCCCTCCTGCTGCATGGTGATAAGTTGGAGACTCCTCACCTCAGATTCAAGCCTACTCAACTGAAAGAGCTTTAGTTTTCTGGGGTTTCTCCCATTTTCTCTTTATTTAGTTGTAGTACACTCAGGTAGGCTTTTTTTGAGGATTGGTCACCCTCCTTTTGTAAGGGAACCCCTCCATTGGAACTTTTTGTACTACTTTTAATGTTTAACATGTAGGGAGCTGAATAATGCTCCTTCCTACGAAAAAATAATAATAATAATATATATATTTTTTCGTGATTTTTCATATTTCACTTCATTTTTTTTGTATTTATATAACTAATACCTAAATTTTACTTTTAACATTTATATCACCTAATTTTTTTCATATCACATAAAAAATATTACCGTTTTAATTCTTAAAATATAAATAGACGTTGCCATGCATAGCAAATGAGTCATATATATAAAAATTAAAGTTTTGGTGTGTAAGTAACCTTGAAACTAAAATCCAAGAGCATTTAATACAAGTATAAATAAAATAAATAAATCTATAATAAAAAAGGATAATTTATTAAAAGTGATAAATATTTATATAAAAAATTATAAGATAATTTTTCTGTACTATAAAAACAATTAAAATTATTATTATTATAACTTTTCCTACAAAAAAATACAACTGCTTTTATTTTTTTAATATTTTTTATTATTTTAAATATGTTATCTTAATTGCCCCCTTAATACTCTATTTTTTTTTTTTTTCCTCGTCAGGT